CCTCTGTTTTGTAATCTATTTTGAATTTTAAGCCCAATAGGCTTACAGATTCCATCACACAATCGATTATTTGACAGCTGCATTTGGCCAGTATTTAAACACATTCCCCATTTGTTGTTGGCATCATTTTCGAACAACTGTGGTTGCAGGCACCATTTGCCTGCCTCCAACTGCACAGAATATAGTTGAACTGCACATTTGAGGAATGTTGCAAGGCAGACTTAAGGTCAGTTAAATAATTGTCAGCTGTGTTGCAAACTGTCACTTTGCAAACGCAAATTAAAATATATTGTAAGCCAAGCACTCAAGATAATGGAGATATGAAGGTATAGATGGATAATTTGTTTGTACAATAGTTCAGGTTCTTGTGACCTGAGCAGACGTTCTCATACGGACAAATTGGATTGTTATTTTATTAGACCTATGCCTATATAGGATATTTTAGGGTACAATTTCGACATGAATTTTGACCAAAAATAATGTTGCCAGATTTAGATGCCAAATTTATTTAGAGGCTAAACCATGAACAAATAGTCAAGCCCCGTAAAAATCGGTTGAGATTTGCCCAAATTTTGGGGGGTGGAAAATTTCAACCTATGTATATAAAGGACATATTAACGGATATATTCCGCATCTGTGTAAAATATAGGAAAGCCCGCGTCCCAAATTTGTGTTTCAGAACTCTTATAAACTTTAATTTACTTAAGATCCCTGATCTATAATTATCAATATAATGGAATTGGAAGAGACATTCAGATTCGCACAGACAGATGGACATAGCTACATAGACTTAGCTCATCCTCTAGATCCAATATATATATATACATATGTTTGAGAAACTTTTTTCGCCCAACTACATACATGGGCCTAAGATATATATATCTCTGTCATATATGTATATATAAATTCATTAAATTGTGGTATTTCTGCCCTTTATCATATCAAGTCCTTATTTGTTTGTAATAATCGCAACTTTTCTAGATTCCAGAATTTAGAGTTCCATAAAACATGTTTCAACGCTTAAAAACAAACATTTGATTTCTTGTTTCCTGCGTGTGTGTGTGTATGCGTGTGTGTGAGTGTTGGTGTGTGCATGGAAATGCCGCTTACAAACATTCATAAATCCTCACCAAGTTCAACGCGCGACAACTCTGCTGTCCGTACAGATTCCGTTTGTATAGTTCAGTTTGTTTTTTTTTTTTTGCTTTGTGGTCTTTGGTCGTTTTTGTGCGCATAGTTTTTTATAGCATACTTATGTGGGACAGCGAAGCGAAATCCATTTCACTTATCCCATGCACTTTTATGGCTTTGGCCACCAAAAATTTTGCACATTAAAGCGAACTTTCTAACATGACATATGTAAGCCAGTCGTCGCCTGCTCGCGGCCCGCGCTCAGCTGCCGCCGTGTTGCTGGGATTTGCGGTGCCACCCATTGGCCAAACACACAAGTTGCACAAATACACATTTCATATTCATAGTCTGAGAGCTTAAAAGCAAAGAAATTAACTTCACAAAAGTTTGCACAAACGTTGAAAACGAGTCGTCGACTCGTCGAGTTGTCGAATGCGACGACACACACGGCGTATGTGTAATATGTGAATATGAAAATGTGCGCGTGTGTTCGAGTTTGTGTGCTTGTGTGTGTGTGAGTGTGTATGTGTGTGTGTGTAACCCGTAGCCAGTACACACCCTTGCCTTGCACAAGGCCTACTCGAAATGTGCTTCGGCTGTGGCTCTCCACACACTATTTTTGTGCTTAGTCGGCTCATCTGCATTTTATGGTCCAAAAATATCATCATCATTTTTTCGCATTTCATTATGTTCCCCCCTCTCTCTCTCGCTCTCTCTCTCTGTGTGTGTGTGTGGCAACATGCTAGCAGCTGAAAACTTAGCAGCCTCATTTAGTATGCTTCATTTCATTATATGGCTCGCTACTCAGTCCCCAGCTACCCAACTGTCGCCTGCCTATGACTACTTTAAAAATAAGAAAGAAAGCAAAAATGACAAAAAAAAAAGCAGCTCTTAACTTTCGCTGCAACCGCAAACATTTTGGGCCACATTTTGTGGGCAATCCTTCTGCCTGGGCCTCCGACAAAACGGTGCGAGAAATTGTCCTCTCGTCAGTCGTTTTTTATTTGTTTTTTTTTCACATTTATTTCTCTTCTACTTTTTTAGCGCTTCTGATGTCGCATGCAATTTTTTTTTTTGCGCTGCGTAGCAACTCCTTTGGGTCTGTCTCCATGCTGGGCGCTGCTTGTCCTGGCTGCTCGTCCTGCCTGCCTCCCGCCTCCCTGTCCCGCCCATTTGGCTCCCGCTAAGCTCATGTACAGCCTTCCGCCTCGTTGTTTGCACCACTCTCCCGTCACTCATTTTTTTTTCTTCTCGTAATTTTCATAAGCAGCCGTTAGACGTTGGATTTATGTTTTTAAACGCCTTTTAATATGCGAGAGGATCTTCGCGCGCGCCCCAACAGAAAACAGAGCAGACCCGAGCAGAACACAAAGCCACTTGCAAATGCCGCGTAGCCAGCCTCGTTGTCCTAGACGCCTGCGTCCTTAGCCCAACACGCCCCCCCCCCCCCCCCCCCACACACACACACACCACTCTTCCGGCGCTCGCTCGACGTCCTTCGTCCTTGCTCTGGCTGTGCCTTACGTTGCGTGGCAGGGCGCAAATCCAGTGAGAATGCGTTTAAAAAAATATTATAATAATAACATTACGTAAATAATTGTTGGGCTCTGGGCGCCGGGAGGTGTGGCAGGACGCGGGTAAATGGCAACGGCAACACGCGCCGCAGGAATAGCTACGGAAATCAGCTGCGTGTTGATAAGCAAAGCGAGCGAGAGTGAAGAGAGAGAGAGAGAGAGAGGAGAGAGAGGGTAAACTGAGGGACACTAAGAAGTTGCTGCCAACGGGTAGGTGCTGTTCTGCCTCAGGCCTTCGCACTTGGCGTGCGTGTGTGCGTATTATGGCTGTGCTTTGCGGTTAGTCGCAGCATCACGTTAAATCGAAAAGTATGTTAAAGCCGCATTAGTAAATACCCTTGGAATAATAACAGATAAGCTGACTGCTCAGAATTATGGTTAAAGAAAAGTAAATCAGATTTAACTTTGAAAGAGATCGTAAAACAAAAGAGTTTAGAGCTATTTCAGCGGCTAAGCCCATAGCTAACCTTAGCCTGAGAATTAGTTATAATAGGAAGATGTTATGGATTTAATTGGGATGCTCGTTAAGCTATAGCCTATTGATATTGATTCAGCTAAATCATATAATAAGTCTAGCCCCAAAAAAAGATACTTTAAATAATATGAGCTAAAGCTGTTGAGATGAAGGTCCGACCGATTTATTATAATTTACTATAAGCCAAAACTTAAGCCTAAATAGTTTGCCAGAAATTAAACTCAATCGAAAGTTAAATTAAATATATTCTACAAAAGTGTTGGATTTAAAATAAAAAGTTTTAGTTCATCTAAAATCCAGCATCAAATCGGAAATAACTTAACTTCCAACCCTTGCATTCATCTATCTATTATCATATTAATTATATAACAAATTTGGTTGGAAATCAAATCTAGCCCGTATTTCGTATTTGAAAATATGAATGGCTTCTCATATTTTCAGCAGAGCGGGCAATTGTAAATGAACAATTGAATAGTCGCCTTCCTATCAAGCCAGGCCAAACTTAGGCTCCTAGGTATATAAAAGCAAGCTCTCAAGCTAAGCTAAATGCTGAGAGCTTGTGTAAGCTGTAGGCCAACAATTTATTCTGCCCTGCGACCCTGGTTAAAATACGACTCAAACTTAATTAGTTTAAAGTTTAATTTATAATAATTATTTATGATGAAATAGTCCTGTAATTTTTGGAAGACCTAACATCGCTTTAAAATCTCAGAATATCTTTACCAACACTGTTTATTATTAATAGCATTGTTTCCTAACACTAAAGCCTAGCTGTCAAGGCACAGGGATGCTTTTGTCAATTAGAATTCAATTTTTATATAAATAATTGATTTGTTGACTTTAAGTTTCTACATTTTCTTCTGCGGAAATTGAAAATGTTTCGAATATTATTATTATCTCCCATATATTGCACAATATTATAATTAAAATTATTCTCTTTCACTTTATCCTCAGATTTCTCATCATTTTTACCATATTATTATTATGAGTATACGTTATAGAAGCAGACTATCAAAGTAACTTTTCAATTGCCACTTAAACCTTCTGCTAAGACGCACTTTTATGCATACAATGCTGAACCTGTAGTTTTGTAGCATCGCTCAACTTGTCTACCCAACTCCATAGACAGTTTGGTTTCCGTTTCGGAAAGTATCGCTGACTATTCAAAATACCTTTGGGGCATATTCCCGTTACGCGTCATGCTTCACGCGTAACTCCCTTTTTTTTCGCTAGAGTATTTCGTGAGAGAGGGCGCAAAAAAAGGCGCTACATAGATGAGGCACATTTGTAACTCTGTCTAACCGAGCGCAGTGGCAGGCAGCAAAATGTGCGTGTGGCATTTAGTAGGCAGTGACAGCGGCAGTGGGGCGGGGGCACAGATAAAGATAGAGGATGGCGGCAGAAGGAAGGCCCTAAACGGGCAGCCACACACACGCACACCCATTGCTGTCGAAATTTTGTTGTCATCATCACTTTGCAGGCGAAACAACTGAAGTTGATGGGAGGCAGGGTGGGGGCTAGGTTTGGCGTTGGGTTTGGCGTTGGGGTTTCTGGAGATGGAGTTGATGCCGTAGCCGCCGTTGCTGCCTGTCAGCCACAAAGTTATCTGCCTGCCAGTTTTTTTTTGTCAGTAATATTGTTGTTGCCATCTTCCGTTTTTAATTTCATCTGCCATTTGCTGCTACTTATGACACATCCTTTGCCCACAACCCGCCCAAGATGCGCCCTCAAGTGCTCAGCTTTTGCTCAAGCATTCGGTAAAAAAATAGCAACTTTTTCTTCTTTTTTTGGTTTGTGGTAATATTTCTGTGGGTACTTACCTTGGGATGTGCACGTCGCGGAAAAGCTACTTTCGGGTCCACCTGCAAGCACAAGAGAAAATTGAGTGAACGAGTGAGAGAATGTGTGAGAGAGTGAGTGGGAATGCGTAGCAAGGAAATCGTATGCTTAATGATATTTAAATGAAAAAGCATTTCGAGCAACTCTTCATATTAATAGCCGAGCATAAATCTTGCATAAGCCTGCATTGCGCATTAAGCGGGAATTACTCCTAGGGGATGCGCGGGATGGCCGAGCGAGGGGCGAGGGGCGAGGGGGGCTTCTGTGGGTGTCATGATGGTCTGCGGTAAATGCTCAACTTGGAGCTGAGCACGCACGAATTAACGCATAACAAATTGCGCGTCCAGCTCAGAAGCCCCGCAATCCGACGGCGCCAATAAGCAGCGTCATTAAAAATAATTAAAAATCATAAAAATTCAATTTTAAGTGCTTTGCTTTGCCACTCATTTCGGCTCCTTCCTGTTATGCCAGTCAGCGGGCTGCTCCCTAACACACACACACACACACACACACACACACACACACACAGTGACAGCGCTCGTCCTGACAGCTCACGGTAAGCCTCAAGGGGGATTGTGGAGTTGGTATAGTCTCTGGGGTCTCATTTTTGTACGTCCCCCCGAACTAAATCTTTTTTTGATGTGACTGCGCTGCATTTAGCTGCAAGTGCGGGTAACTTAAGCCAATGCCGCAAATAAAATGAAGAGATATTGGCAAAGATAAATGCAGCTAGAGAGGGAGGGAGAGTGGGCGCGGGGCAACGCAATATCCTCTGGCGATAATAATTCGCACAGAAATTGTCACAGGACAGCAGCAAATGTTGACAGGACGGCAGTTTGCCGTGTTGATTTCCTGTGTGCAGCACGACAAAACAACAGCAACAACAACAACACGAAGAAGAACAACAACGTTGCAGGGCCAGCCAGCCGCCTGGCGGGAAATTGATTTTTAGATTAAAATTAAAACTAATCAGCGCTGAGTGGCAAAGTCGACGTCGACTTTTTGGTAAAATACATCAGACCGAAAAAGCGTAACGAAATGAAATGAAATGAATTCGCATCGTTTTCAGTTTTACCCTGCTGTGTGTTGTGCAGCCAAACGGAAACACGAAACACTGTGCTACACACACACACACACGCAAGCACGCAAACAACACACACACGTGCGGGTGTGTGTACGAAATGCAGTTGGTTTGAAAAAAAACGTGATATAAATATACATATAAATGATGGCTGCGCATTTTATTTACAGTTGGCCAGCTGTGTTGCCATAAAAGAATGACCAACAAATACAGACAGACTGAAAAACACACACAGACACAAACAAACACACACACTGACACACACACACACACAGTCAGCTAATTAAGCTAATGCCAAAGCGGCGTATGCGTAATACGAGCTGCCTTCTGACAGCCTGTCTTCGTCAATTTCGGTCAATCCGGCTAATCAAAGCGAATTCATCAATGACATGCATTGCCTTTGCCTTTGCCTGTGCACTTTGGAACACACACACACAGATATTTATGCAAATCTGTGAACTGTAAAGTTAGCTAAAGCCAAATTTAATTCTTGCATTACTTGTACAGACTTTCATGATTTGGTAACTGCATGAGATGCATTTAGATTTGAAAATATTATATTTGCGAATTTGAAAGTCAAAACCCATATCTGCAATACGTCTGGCAATATCAGGCTCTAGTCTCTAGATTAGCACTCAATGTGTTTTTAAAACTTCCATAACTTTGTCAAAACTCCAGCTATTTTTATGTGATATACCATGGTTTTGCTTAATTCTGCATTTAGATCTAACTTACAAAATTGAGTTTTTTTTAGACTAAAATGCTAAACTTGCTAAACTCTTAGCCTGATTATACATTTGTACATACAAATATTAGAATATTTAACTTAACTTAAACTAAACGTCAAGGTCGAAAAGTTTTAGATTGCATTCCGCATTTAAATTAGGACACACAATAATTTTGAAAATATATTAATGTACTTCAAAATTCATATGGAAATAAAATCTCCATCCTAAAAGATTTTCAAAACTAGTGCAAATAAAGCTACTTTAAACTGTCCAAAATTTGTCCTAAAATATATTGAAATCCGTTTAGGCAGCACATAATTTGACTTTTATTTTTTTTCTCTTTTGCATTGGAGATCCAAAAAAGTTTCTAAATTGGAAAGCTCAATATTTAGTTTTTAATCGCAGTTTATTAAAAAAGCATACGAAATGACAAAGTGTAGCTGCTCATTTGATGCTCGGGCACCACCTGCTGCACCACCTGCAGCACCAGCCGCGTTGTAGTCGAGCACATCACGTAATTAAAAATTGTTTGGCTATTAAAAAAATACACGTTTTTGGCAAAAGCTTTTCATAGACAGGTTATTGTTTTCTTTCTTCTGCAGCTTTTTTTTTCGTCTTTTTTTGACGTGTTTTTCATGTTTTTTAACTTTTGTGATTTGCTGTTTTTGTTAGTTGCCTGTCATTGCTTTGAGTTTCTAATTGCTGTCAATAGAGAGGGCGCGAGAGAGGGTGAGAGCGACTCGGAAGAGTGAGCGAGAGAGGTATGGAGGGACAGGAGGCAATTTATGAAGCGCGCGAGTTGCTTTGTGCAAATATTTTGCATAGCTGGTGAAGTTTTTTCTATTTTGTTACCCGCTGGGTTTGTTTGTCAAGAGTCGGGCTCGAGTTACGGATTGGTGGGTGCATATATACTTTTTTTTTTTTGGCAGCAGCATATGTGATGTGTGTGGGAAGAGATTTACCTTTTTGCCATCCAGCTCGTGTGTGCCTTGGGTGAGTACCTTATCTACGCTATTTGGATCGCTGAATGTGACAAAGCCAAAGCCCCTGCAAAAGAAAGAGAGAGAGGGAGAGTGAGAGATGAAAGTAAATATCAACACGGTTAGACAAGTTGCTTAAATATTTGACAAGCAGCTCGATAAACCTGAACTCAACACAAACTCGACAACTGAAATTCAGCTACGGTACGAGGCAGCACGTGCGCCAATTAGAGGCTCAAATTACATCAAAAATATTGGCTAAGCAAGTCGAAGACTGTCTGAGTTTAGCTTTCGTCGACTGCTCTTTGCCTAAGCCATTTTGCCCAATTGCCAAGGCTCGAATGAGCTCGACTAATGCTCGACCTGACAGACGCTTACAAGCCATTACACACACACACACACACATACACATACAGGGAGACTGGCTGCCTTCCCGTGTCGTGTTGTGATAAACTTATTCTTGTTAAATATTTAATTAAAATGCTTATTATCTCGCACTGCATTTTAATGAGTCTCCCATGCCCATGTACCAAAGGCAGCGCCAGCCAGAGTCAGAGCCAGAGCCAAAGACAACAAACCAGCTCACAGATTTTGGCTGTGCCACAACACACCAGCCAGCCCCTACCACCGTCTGCCCTTCCCCCTCTTGACTGTGTGTGTGCACGTTTATGTTTATTTGAGTTTTGCCACTTGGCAGCGACGCTTAACGATGCGCCAGGCGTTGCTGCTCCAGACTCCGTGCCTTCAGCTGCTCCGGCTCCGGCTTCGGTTCCAACTTCTTTGCCAGACACAGCAGCCACAACGCTCGTATTTGTCTTGCTCTTTTAGGCGCTGCACACACACACACACGTATCCAATCCAGCTGGGGGAGTGGTAGAGGGGTAGCGGAAGCCTTAACAGCAAGCACAGACAGTAATTAACGACGATTCTATTGCAATTGTGGCGATTGTTATGGTTTTGATTATACCACTCCCATCGCAGAGCCAAGCGGAACCGATGGCCAGCTACAGCTGCTCCTTGTCCACTTGGCTTTTTATTGCGGCAACTTTATACACAAATTGCTATGCAATAGCAACAACAACAACAACAACAGCAATAACAATGAGAGCTTGTTGCAAATTTATAAAAACAATTTGCATATGGAAGAGCTTCCCACACACAATCGTATGCGAACTGCAGCTAAGATTGAGCTCGGCCAACTGGAAATGGAATTGGATTTGGGTATTGGAAAAGTGAGCGTTGTGCGTGTGGTGCAGCCGTCCTGCCGTGCACTTGGCTCGGTGTTTTGGAACGTACTCGACAACGCCTGGCACATATTAAATAAACATTTCTCTTCGTATTTATAGACAAGCAATTTGTGCAAATGCATTGCGAAAAAGCGGCCTACGCCTATTAATATTGATTTAAATTGTGAGCGGTGCGAGGCGTGGCCGGGCAGGTTTGGGGGCTAAGCCTTTAGGTCATGTGGGTGGCAAGTGCCGTTGAGTGGTGGGCGTGTCTCCACTCAAGTGGGTCACACAAAATTGCCAAACGGAAAGTGACACAAAGTTGAAGCCAGAGACTGTTGCAATGCCTCCTGCACTTACAAGAGCACAGCAGACGTGCCCCGCCCCCCCTCTCTCTCTATCTCTCTCTGCCTTTCGCTGTCTCACTCGCTCGCCTATTGTCTCTCACAAAGTGAAAAGCCACAAATTTAAAAGGCAAAACTCAAAAATAATGTGTCTCCTGTGTGCAATTTACTCACAAATTCAGATTCAATTTATGCAACTCGAGGCAAGGCAAGCGGCAGGCGCACCGAAAAACCAAGCGACAGCAGACAGCACCAGGATAACAACAGAATAAGGACGTGCATGCGTGTATTCGTGTATGTGTGTGTGTGTTTTGTGCACAATAAAAAGCAAAATAACAACAAATAGCTATACAGCTACGATTATAAGGTACCCTGTACGAGAGATGCAAAGTAAGGTTTGCTACTTTCAAAACTCTCATTTGAGCATTTAAGTGTGAAGTGTGTGTGCAACAGCATGAAAAAAGCTAAATCTTGACTTCTATGATGTCGCATTTGTATACGCGAATACCTATCAAAGCTTCTTCTTGCACTCATTGACTTAAACTTCCAATCAATTTTTAAATTATCCAACAGCATAACCCTCTTGCCTAAATCAACTTTCTTTCTCATTAAAACAGCTATAAAAGCTTTAAAGCTTTGGACAAGCATAGTTATCTTAATACTAATCATTATTTCAACTAATTAATAAGTTACTTGCTACAACTTTGATGTTCGCTTTAGAACAGCTTTTGTACGCTATCACACCTGCAAAAGCTTAAAAAGCTTGAGACAAGCTGAACTGTGTTGATTGATTGCATTAAAGCTGACTTAAAGCTTCACTTCCTAGTTTAAAGCTAAAGCTCGACTAATTAGTTAAAAAAGAAACACGATTAAAAAAAATCTACTCTTACTTTCACTTTTTCTATGATTCATGAGAATTGAACTTAAAGCCTAGTTTTGGCTACTATATAGAGCATACGACTTCGATAAAAGCTATAGAGTTTTTAGCTACGTAACCTTCAAGTATTGGATCTGCACTGTTTTAACTCACTTCTTGTATTTGCAAAATTCCATTAAAATAAATGTGTTAGATTTGCCGCACTCAACGATTTTGGACAGCGTTAAAGCTTTAAGTAGCTGAGCTTCATTGGATAAAAGCAATAAAGCTGACTTAAAGCTGAGAGCTCAATTAGCCAAAGCTATTATTATACATACATATTTACACGTAATTGTTGTTTTTTCATACCATTTTTCAGTATTCAATTAACCTAATTAATCAAAGCCAAAAAGTAGACAGGCTGTCATCTCAAATAACCCTTTTAGCCTCTTCGCATACAGGGTATTCAGTGTAACAAACAGAGACATGCAGACTAGAGGATCTAGAAACATGCAGCCCGAACTGGGCAGGTGGCGGGGTCGCCGACGTAGGTGGGCTGGCTGAAGCTAAAGCGGACGCTGGGAGTGTGCAGGGCAGCGGGAGGCAGGGCTGGGCTGATGCTGAATATGGTTCGGTTTGGTTTGGTTTGGTTTGCTTTGTTGCTGTTGTTGTTGGTTCGTTGGATTGTTGCTTGTTGAATTTTATAAAGCCGTTTCAGAATGCTAATGAGCGCACGCACAAGCTGCCAAGGTAAGCAGCAGCTGTGGATGTGGGCAACGGGCGGTTGAGGCGGGCATGGAGAGGGGGGAGCGTGGCAATCATGTAACACACACGCCGCAAACACGTACCAGCTACGAGCCAGCCTCAAGAGTCGTCGCTGCCGCTGCCGCTGCCGCCGTCGCCTCAGTGTTGCAAGGAAGCAACATAAAAGTCTTATTTGAATTGCCTTGCAGAGCTTGAGAAAGTTTCATAGTCACAGATCCTTGTTGTTGCTACAGTTGTTGTTGTTGTTACTATTGTTGTTGTTATTGTTGTTGCTTATGCTATTGCTGGCTTACGCACAATTTAGCAAAACAACTTGCATGTATTTAGCCTATGGGTTGCCTGTTTGCTTCAGCCAGAGTCGCCATCTGAGCATGTGTGCTTGTCCTGTCTCTGGCAGCGTCTTGGATTACCGTAAATAATCTAACTAAATGAGTTACCAAACGGTCAAAGTTCAGTCTAGGTGTTGCCAAAAGGCGTCCTCCAGCCAAGCAGCAGCATTTCGGTTAGTGAATATGTGTTGCAAAACTAAACTTAAGATAAGCGCCAGAATCCACCTACTCCACCCTCACCCAGCCAGCCCGAGAAAAACAAACACATCCACAACACGACTAGTTAATGCTTACGTAGCTGGCAGGCAAACTGAATACGATATTTGAGCACTACATATGTCCAGTAAGCATGATAATGCGCCCTTAAAGACTGCGCACGGTAAGCACATTCACCATACTGATAGTAGATTAGCCTCAAAATGTCCCAAAGGACTCTTAACTAACTATATGGCAACGGTGCATGCCTCTCGAGTATGTTACGCATGCTACATACACAATATAGTTTAAAGGAAACATATTTATTGCTCTCCCACTATGCACACACAAGTTTCCAGCCTTAGATGGCTAGAATGGAAAAAATCCTAAGAATTAAATCGGAGTCTAGGGTAATTAAAATGGGCTAATTATCTTTCAAGGCTGCAAACATTTAATGAGACGAGCACCTTAGAGCCCCGAATTCCCCATTTGATTCTTACTAAGAACCGAAAAAATATCGTACATACAGATAAACATTTAAAAGCTTTCTAGAATATATAACCAGATATCATAAAACTATCAGAAAATTGATTGCAATTAGAGAACTCTAAAAAAACGCTTAGAAAATGAAAATTAAGCGCCACCCCATAATATTACATTAGTTCATTGCACAACACTCATTCAGCTGAACTGACCTAGCCGAAAAATGCAATCTTTGAGAATCGCAAAGAGAGGCGGCGTCAGCGGCAGCGGCAACAAATGACGCCTGCTCGCATTGATGAGTGCGCACAAGAGTGTTTTATGTACAATGTACTGTTTATTGTCGCCATTTGTTGCAGCAGTCGCCTGTCAAGGCTGCACGAAGAACATTAATGGCAGCCGCAAGTCATGCCCTCAACCTTAACTAAAACTTGGAACTGGCAGCTACAAGCACGAGGGCAGGCAGTAAGGCAGGCAGCACGACGAGCAAAGTAGCTGACGGCTAACAAAACTTTCAATCCAATGCGAGAAAGAGAGACGCCGTCGAACAGGAGGTGTCAGGACAACGCGACGCATATTCAAATGACTTTTTCGTGTAAAAATTCAGAACAAAACAAAAGCGCCCAAACAATTGCAAAAGGAATGCAACTCAAGACAAGCCGAGAGCAGTCCGAGAGAGGGTATGTGCCAGAGAGAATAGGGGCGACTGACTGAGTGTCGTCTTGAGGGTGGGCGGCGGCGGCTGAAACTGAATTCGACTGGCACGGCAGGGAAGGGGGAGGGGTGGGCACTTCTAAGCTTTGGCTACAGTCAACGTCAATCCCGAGCGCACTAACAAGCACTTGCAGCTTGCCACGACGGGGCCCAAGACG